AATCCATGTATGTGAAATATTGGAAAAGATTATGTGTTTACATGAAAAGTGATGAATGAGATATGAAATGAGAAACGTATTCATATTAAAGCCCATGTTATATGATACGAGAGCTATAGGTATAGTTGGCATGCCAAGAGTCGAGGGTATATTAGTCATTCGGGACATAGTGGTCCTTCAGGACGTATCCAGTGGTCATTCGGGACGTATCCAGTGGTCCTTCGGGACAAATACTGAACAAATGTTTGATGCCCCATGAGGGAATTTATTGAGATGTGGTGACAACATTAGTGCACAACCTCAATGTACTCAAATACCTCTGTTCTCAATAATGTACATAGGCAATTGAAAGATAAAGTAAGGTGAAATTGATACAATAAAATAAGTTTCATATGTACATGACATGATTATATTGGTTATAGTGAAATATATATATGCATATTGAAATGTTATGATCAAATGGTAAGAATACATATTCATGAATCTATAGCTACATGTTTATTTATTGCCTCACTAAGTCTATGACTTAGCGTGTAAGTGATTTACACGTAGGTACCAGGAAACAAGAAGAGCAGTACTAGAAGTGGCAAGAATAACATCACTACTAAAAGATCAGATCAAAAGTAATTGGCAAAGTAGGTATTTTGGGTTGTGTATAGAGCGTTGGCATGTAATAAGTTGTTAATTACGAATGCTCTAGTCGATTTTGTATTTTGTGATCTCTTTTATGTAAATTAACGTATTTTGTTTTAATGAAAGTTTAAAATTTCCTTGTTTTTCTTTATGTGAAGAAGTTTGAAAAGTCAATGTGACACCCCGGACTCATATTCGGGTCGGATACGGGTTAGGGGTGTTACAACCACATTGGACCCAAAGACTTAATTGCTGCTCTGATCCCAGCTCCGCGATCTAAAATGACACAAATTTTTTCCCTAGTAATAACATGTGCACGTAAGTTTCAGAGGAAAAAAGCCCAAGAATTTATATATTCTCCTTCAACAAGAGCAAAAGCAACTGGAAGAATGTTGCGATTGCCATCTTGGACAACTGCCAATAATAAAACTTGTTTTATTTTCCATACAAGAAAGTCTCGTCGATCTGGACCATAGGCTTGCAATATTTGACAGCATTAACACATTGTGGGTAAGTCAAAAAAACTCGGTAGAATTGGCATCGATCCCGAAGAACTCGATCATTATGGTATTTATAGGAGGTTTCGAAGTCCACAATTATCCCAGGATTCAACCTCCGCACCAGCCTATACCAGCCTGGAAGTTCGTTGTAAGATACATCCCATTCACCATGAAGTTTGACAATGGCATTTTGTTTTGTCAACCAAGCTTTTTTATAGGAGACAATGTACCCATACTTCGATTGTATAGCTAAAATCAACACACATCAACAACTATATGAGAGCTTGCTTTTACCATGGCTTGTCATATCACTTCAGAGTTCAAGTTGGGATAATCTTGGTTGACCCCTCCAGCACAACATGTGTGAGGACTGTTGTATACTGTTAGTTGTCATATGTTGTTTTTCCTCTTCCTCTTCGATACGCGAACCATCCAATTGCATCCGTTTTCGCATCGGGCATAATAGTATACATATTTTTCTATCGTGGAGCGGTCAACTCTCGATTGAACATAATTACGAATATTGTAATTTTTATAGCCATCATCGCTTCTTCTTTGCTTGAAAACTCCATGCCTAAAGATAACTCACCATTATTTATTGATGAGTAATATCTATAGTTACCGAGATGAGGCATATCCGCAAATTCTAGCCCGTACATTGCACCATAATCAGCTTCATACATGTGTGCTGGAGGGTCAGTTTGTGTCACATTTAATGGAACTTCATCTACATTATCATCATCATCGGAGTTGAATTACGGTGATTCTGGGTGAATGAATAGTCCAGTCTCAGTAGGGGTGTTCAAAATTCGGTTTTAACATAATTAACCGACCGAACCGAATTAGTTCGATTAATTCGGTCGGCCGCCGAATTAATTCGGTCGGGGAACGGTTAAGGATTTTTTTGGAATTCAATTAACGGTTAATTCGGTTCGAAATCAGTTAATTAACCAAATTAACCGAATTAACCTTTAAATATAATTATATTAAGAGGCCAATCTATTTAAAATCCATTTAAAACCCAAATCAATATTAATTAATTAAAATAATATAAAAACTAAATGCAAAATATTTGAATCAAATTAATTAGATATTATTTATAATTAGATATTATTTAAATTAATTGTAAATTATTTTTTTAATTAAAAAAATATTAAATTCTAAAATTCTAAAAAATTTCGATTAATTCGAAAATTAACCGAAATTTATTCGGTTCGGTTAATATTTTCGAAAAAAAGTTCGGTTTGGTTAACGGTTAAAGAAAAAAAAGTTCGGTTAATTCAAAAATGGTAGTTCGGTCGGTTCGGCCACCGAATTAATCGAATGAACAACCTTAAGTCTCAGCACCATCCGCACCAGGCTCCCGAAGCGGTTCTTCTGGTGGATATGATGGTTCCTCCATGCTCTCCACATTTAGGTCGAATAACCTACTACTTGTACGTCTTCCCCTTGAACTAGAAGGCATATCGATATTAAAATTGAAAAAACTCGTAGTGGAATGCCTCCCCCTGGAGCTTGAAGCCATCGTGTCAAATGGAAACTGCACAAATTGTTGCGTCGATGACATCTCCATATTAAGGTCAAAGAAATTTGTATATGAATGCATTCCCCTTGAACTGGACGCGAAGTTGACATACGGATTGTTCATGAACCCACCTCGGTACATATTATAAGGAGTTGCGGATGAATGTCTCCCCATTGAAGTTGATGTGACGACACCATGATGCGGATTTCCCATTATGGCGTTAAAATCATTACACATTACTGTAGTTAGGCTGTCAACTTGATCAACTTGTTCAGCCAACCCATAGTGGGAGCTTAATGTCTGACCCCGAATAGCACGCACTTAAACAAAATTTGCATACATCTCAATATCGCCATCTGAATAATTACTTTGAGAATCAGCCATCATTTCAACATCATCATTGTTCGATAGTTCGAACGATGTATAAGTTAATGGCAACAATGACGTTGGAAATTTGTATTGCAACGACGAAATTCTTCTACTACTTTCAACATAAACCTTCCTCGAAATCTTCGTTTTCGGCTCCTCAAGAGTTATGTTTCTCTTGAATGATATTTTAACACGTTCCTTTGATACGAAAACAACGCCGGTTTTATCTTCTCGAATTTCTCCATCATAAAAAACAATAGCTGAAAGTCGCGTCATTCTTAGAGTTTAAAAGTGCGACAATATTATATCTGCAAAAAAACAATTGAAACAAACCTGATTAAATAAATAATATATGAACGAAAATATAACACAATAAAATTTTTACACATAAAACGTAAATAATTTAAATAATATAATTTTATATTATTACCTGCACCGCAAAAATATTTCGACGCATGCTCTCACTTTCCCCTTGAACTAGCATATAAATTAATTGAAAACAATTACTATAATATTTTTTCAAATAATCATAATAAACAATAAGTATAATAAAAAATATTTTAACAAAATTACCTTATAACGAAAGAACGAACGAACTTCTGAATCAAATATAAGAGGATTGATGGATGTTATTTACTGGTTGAAATGATTGTTGTATTAATTTCTAGGCTGAGAGGGAATTGTGATAGAATTTACAGGGACAAGGCTATTTATAGCCGAGAGAGGATGCTTTAAAGCCGAGAGGTCCGGGTAAATTATGCAAGGCGCGGTCCCTGCATCGCGCCTTGCATTATGCATGTATGATAATTGAGTATGTGATAATTAAAAAGCGCGGCCCCTGCCTCGCTCTATAGCTCTACGTAGCGTAAGTCGCGCCCTAGGGGCCGCGCTTTAGACACGTGTGTCCATGTTAGGATAAGGCGCTCTTCAGGGGACGTCTTATCCCACGTGGCACCAGATCAGCGTAAAGCGCGGAACAGAGGACGCGTCTTACTGCAAAGGGTGTTAGATCGAGAAAAATAGTCTGAAGGGTGCTTAACAGGAATTAAAGAGGAAAAAGCCCACGTACAGTTAACTAAAATCCTGCTGCTACAACTGTACATAGGGCTGAGCAACAAAACCAAGAAAACTGAAAAACCGACACGAACCGAGTAAAATGGTTCGGTTCGGTTCGGTTTGGCATTATATGGTTCGCTTTTCGGTTCGATTTAAAGTCTCCATTCTTTTGATTCGGTTCGGGTTTTCCATATGGAACCCATTTGTTTCATATTGAACCGAATAAACAATTTTTTTTTTAAAAAATTATAGTTTCAAGTGATTTTTTCATTGAAAAATCGATAATCCGAACCGAAAAACCAAACCGTTAAAAAAATCGAACCGAACTGAACAAATCGGTTTCAATTTTTTTCAGTTTTTTAACCATTCGGTTTCGGTTTAAATTTTGGAAAACCGTTTATTTCGGTTCGGTTCAAGTTTTGGTAAAAAAACCGAACCGAATACACCCCTAACTGTACGCTTGTATTATGTGTTCACATTGTCAAAATAAAAAAAGAATAAACACTAATTTTTAATAATCGATAAAAAAATTAACCTTTCTAAAGTTTGTGAATTTGTGTAATTGTATTTATAGGAGATATATATAGATTGTTCATGATTAAAATATTTTTAAATAAATATTATTTTATAATTATTTAAATTTAAAAAAAATTAAAAAAAAAATTATTATATAAACTAGTTATTAAATTAGATAAAACTTTAAAACAAAATATATCTTAAAAATGTGATATTTAATATTAATATGATATTTTAATAATCAAGTAGAGACTAATTTATATGATAAGTATTTTTTAATACGAAACAATAAAGCTAAATTAAGCAATCCAGCTTTACCAAGTCCATATTTGTAATTAGCATTACCTAAACACCTCACCTTAATTAAAAAAAAATCCAAAATGCTGAAAATCTTGTTACACCCATCGTCCTATCCTATAAAACAACACCAAGAAGAACAGTGAATCTCTCTCAACACCACCACTCTGAAAATCATAGAGAGAGAAAACGTTGATCACTTTCCCTCTCTAAAGTCTCAACCTCTAAGCCTTTAATATATAAATCTATTTATAAAGAGGAAGAGAGGGAGTTTGTTTTGATTTTGATTTTGATTTGATTCTGATTTTGTTTTGTTTTATTTTAAGGGAGTTTTGAAATCATCATGGGTGATGGGAAGAGATTTGCTGTTCTTCTATGTGCGGAGGATTCCGATTACGTCAAGAAGAGGTACAGTGGTTATTACGGCGTTTTCGTCGAAATGCTGGCGGAGGAAGGCGAGACGTGGGACGTTTACAAGGTGGCCAATGGCGAGTTCCCCGATGATAATGAGATCGATAATTTCGATGGTTTTGTTATAACTGAGAGTTGCAATGATGCGCACGGGGATGATGTTTGGATCTACAAATTGATTGCTCTTTTGAACAAATTGGATTCGTTGAATAAAAAAGTTCTTGGGATTTGCTTTGGCCATCAGGTAATCCTTCAAATTCGTGATTTTCTCTGGAAAATCGTAGCGAATCGAAATCGACATTAATATCAGGGGTACAAACAAAATAGTTTTTTTTTTTTGCTGAAATTGTTAGATGGAATTGGACATCTCCGGGTTATCCAAGTGTTTGATAAAACGTGATTCAACTCAGTTTATGTGGGCTGGTTCTTCAACCGTAGTTCTCTGAACTGAGTCTTACAACATCGCTCGCTCGTCTAATTTTGTATAAACAATGTGTCTTGTATTGTTTCCATTTTTTAATAATCTAAATAAAAAATATTACTATATTAAATATTAGGTTTTCATATACATGAAAAAATAATTTCATTAATAATTTAAATTTAAAAATATTTTTATTAATAGCTACGAATAAGAATAATTGAACTTGAATTTCTCTATTTCCTTTTTGGTTTGTGGGTTCTTTCACTTAATTTATACCACTCTTGAAATATTAGGTTATCAATGTCATTCAAATTCTTAAGTGAATGGGTCTATAAAACTTTAGTAATTTGTTAAATCTAAATTTGTAATTCAAATTCAAACTATAATATATAACTTAAAATAAAAAATAGTAGATAAATAGTTTTAATATTTTAAACTGAAATTAAATATAATTAAAATTAAATTAAGCGTCCATGTAAGTATGAACAAAAATAAATATTTTACAAATTAATATTTCTAAAATTTCTTATATTGAAAAATGTGAAATTGTAGGTAAGCATTGGTTAAGTGGACAATTACATCGGGTGTAAAACTTCCTTGTCCATATAGTTGGGTTCTAATTTCCACAAGGGGTCATATGATAACTATAATTGCAAATAGGATAAATTTGTGTCATGTTTTGACCTGTGGACCAATAATAAATTGTCACATTGCAAATGAATATGAAAGGTCGGGGCGATGAGTAAGGGCCAATTTCATCAAAAGCCTTATTCTTTAATTGTGCATCCCCATAATTTTGTTTTGATTCCAAATTGATCCTTAAATGTTTAATTATAAATACTACACACCTATAGTATAGATAATTAGGTTATGGCAGGTTAATGTTAAATTGTATTCTAAATTGGTTCTAAATGTTTTTAATATTTTTATTGTAAATACTCTACACCTTCGGCTTCAGTAAAACGCATTAGGTTTTTTTTCATTATCAAATTTAAATTATCCAATCACTAGTACATACTTGTTTACAAGTTGTCTAGAGATATAATTGTACATGATTGCTCTAAAATAGGACTTATATTTTAAATTTGTTTATAAATTTCAAAATATTCTATATTAATCCTCAAACTATGACCCGATCTAAATTAGTTTTTAAACTTTAAGACAATCTAAATTTTCGGAAATTATATTATGTATCCCTAGGAACTAGGGTTGTAAATGAGACGAGATAGATCGCGAGCTACTCGAGATCGATTCGGTCAAGGCTCGATAAATACTCGGATCAAATGAACTCGACTCGAGCTCGAGCTCGACTCGAATTCTTAATAAGCCGAAACGAGCTACTTGATACTCGATTCAAAAAACTCGTGAGCAGCTCGAAAATATAATATATTAAGATTTTATTTTTAAAAAAATAAATTATTAATAATATTAACATTTATGTGTTGATTTTTTTTAAATACAGTAAGACTTTAATGTATTTAAGGTTCATGTTCGAGTTTGAGGCTTCAATCTAGTTAAGTTGAAGTTTTTTTTTTCATTTCGAGTCTTTTCGAGCTGCTTACGAGCTTCAATTAAGGATTTCAAGTTAGAGTCTAGCTTAAAAATTTTAAGCTCGCGAGTTTTCGAGTCGAGTCGAGCTGTATTTCAAGTCTTTGAGTCGAGTCGAGCTTAACGATACTCGAGCTCGACTCGACTCGTTTACACCCCTACTAGGAACTCTGGATTCTAGAGTCTTGTAAGTAACGAGCATATTTGAAAGTGATATATAGTTGAAAATACTCTTTGATGATGCTGACAACTCGGTGCTGCTTAAGCTTTCTCATCCACTTGTTCCTACCAATTCAATATTATGCTTTGCCTTTTCTTTATTTCTTTAATGATGTATGGCAATGGCTGATGTAAAAGGTGTGGGGTTTTGGGATTTAATATTTGGATGAAATGAGATATGCCTTCCAGTAGATGCATGATTGCTTACTTAGTGTAGAATGTATAGCCAGTCAGCAACATTGTATTTTATATGCTTTATCTCTAGGCAATAATATGCATGTCAGATAAAACGTTTCTTCTCATGCAAAAAAAAAAAAAACGTGTTTGCCACTTCATTGTGTTCTTTTTGTGTCGGTTCATGGAATCGGCATCCTTTTGCATATGGGGTGCCTATGGATATGCCAAAAAGGTAATTTGTAGCTATTTGATTCAGATTCTTAGTCGAGCACTAGGAGGAAAAACAGGGCGAGCCATCTCCGGGTGGGACATTGGGGTCACAGCCATTCATCTGTCTTCATCTTCATCGAAGCTCTTCTCCTCTTTGAAAATCCCGACCACTCTTTCAGTGATCGAATGCCACCGTGATGAGGTTAGAGAATTGCCACCGAAGGCGGAGGTGATAGCATGGTCGGAGAAGACCGGTGTGGAGATGTTTAGGTACGGTGATCATATACTGGGCATCCAAGGCCACCCTGAGTACACCAAAGACATTATGCTTCACCTGATCGACCGTCTCTTGCAGCGCAGTTTTATCCAAGTACGTACACGTAAACACCCCCCATCTGATCACTTCCAAGCTCCTTGATGATTTGTGTTTGACAACTTTATATTTAATACAGGAGTCGTATGCTGATATATTGAAGGAAAAGCTGGTGAAAGTGGAGCCTGATAAGGAAGCATGGAAGAAACTATGCACCAGTTTCCTCAAGGGTAGATTATGATTTAAGTTTTGGGGGGGAATTTGTTGATAAATCGGGCAAAGTAAACGAAAGAACACAAGAATTTTAACGAGGTTCGGCAATGTGCTTACGTCCTCGGTGCCTAGGCGGCGCTAGAAAATTTTATTCAATTCTCATAGGTTTAGGTTACATCTCTATTTATAATAGAAACCCTGGTACATAATTACAAAATTAACCATGTACCGTACCGCGGGGCGCAGCCCCCGCACCCCCAACCCATAATCGTAACCCCCTCTACGAGACTTTCTTTATAAGGATAGTTGATGTTCGTTGCGTTCGCTTCGCTCACTCCGCTCCATCCCCTGTCCTCTTTACCGGTATATTTATGAGTCATACCTTACAAATCTCCACCTTGGCGAATATCATGCCCCTTAGGAAACATTCAATGTGGGTTGGGTTACCTTAGTTCTTTAACAACTTAAAACATTCAACAAGTCCAAGCAATGCTTGAACTTGTTTGTCGTAACTGACTTGGTGAACATATCAGTGGCATTCTCATCAGTGTGTACCTTCTGAAACAAAATCTCTTCAGATGCAACCAACTCTCTGATCTTGTGAAAACATACATCAATGTGCTTAGTTCTAGCACGATATACCTGATTCTTAGCTAAGTGAATAGCACTTTGATTGTCGCAAAGCAGCTGAACTCCACCTTGCTGAACACCCAACTCCTTCACTAAACCAGTGAGCCATAAAGCTTCTTTTGCAGCTTCAGCCGCTGCCATGTACTCAGCTTCAGTTGTAGATAGTGCCACTACAGATTGAACAGTAGACTTCCAACAAATAGGTCCTCCACCAAGAGTAAAAACATACCCTTTCGTAGATCTTCTATTATCTAAGTCACCTGCATAGTCTGAATTCACATATCCTACAACCAAAGGATTATCTCGTTGACTACCAAAAACAATTCCATGTCCCACAGTACCCTTTAAGTATCGAAAGATCCACTTGACTGCTTCCCAATGTTGCTTACCAGGTTTAGACATGTACTTACAAACTTGACTAACAGCATGAGCTAAATCAGGACGAGTACATACCATTGCATACATCAAGCAGCCAACAACATTAGAATACGGAACCTTTGCCATATCTTCAGCTTCCTTATCTGTCTTAGGCACTATTCTGATGAGAGCTTAAAGTGGTTCGCCAATGGAGTGCTAACTGGTTTTGCGCTGCTCATCGCAAACCTTTCTAGTATTTTTTCAACATAACCTCGTTGAGATAGCCACAGTCTCCTTGAGTCTTTGTCCCTGCAAATTTCTATTCCAAGAATTTTCTTTGCAGCACCTAAATCTTTCATATCAAATTCCTGACTCAATAAAGTTTTCAAACCGATAACATCATCCATGTTCTTCGCAGCAATCAACATATCATCAACATACAGTAATAGAAAAATAAAAGAACCATCATCAAGGCTCTTAACATAGACACAACAATCATACTCATATCGGTTGTAGCCAATCTTGATCATATAGGAGTCAAACCGTTTATACCACTGTCTCGGAGACTGTTTCAACCCGTACAAAGATTTCTTCAATCTGCAAACTAAATGCTCGTTTCCAGGTTGAGTGAAACCTTCAGGTTGCCGCATGTAGATCTGCTCCTCTAAATCACCATGCAAAAAAGCAGTTTTAACATCCATCTGCTCTAAATGCAAATCCAACTGGCCACCAATGCAAGTACTGCTCGGATTGAAGTGTGCCTGACCACAGGAGAAAAAATTTCATCATAATCAAATCCTTTCTGCTGTGAAAAACCCTTTGCTACCAAACGAGCCTTGAACTTGAACTTCTCCCCCTTTTTTCTGTTACTGCTGGTTTCTTCTTATACACCCATTTGCAACCAATCGGCTTTTTACCCTCAGGAAGGCGAACCAACTCCCATGTACGATTGTGATTCAAAGACTCCATCTCCTCAACCATGGTTGCCATCCACTTGTCGTTTTCCTGACTAGTAACAGCATCATGAAAATTAACCGGATCATCACTGCTAACAATAAGTGCAAAAGAGACCAAGTCTTCAAAACCCAATCTACTCGGAGGCTTTATATTCGTCCGTCTCACCCTATCTCTGGCGAGACTATAATCCTGCAAATCATTCGTAGTGGAACCACCAGAATTCGATTGAGAAGTTTCTGGTTTCTCAACTGGAAACTGCTCGAAATCCACCACTGTCGTGTCTTTCTTCTGTTGCAACATGGATTGTTCATCAAAAACAACATCTCTACTGATCACAATTTTCTTCGCAACTGGATCCCAGAACTTGAATCCCTTGACACCTTTCTTGTAACCCAGAAAAATGCACTCCTTCGATTTTGTATCAAGTTTGGATCTCTCATCAGCAGGTACATGCACATAAGCAGGACAACCAAAAATCCGTAAGTTATCAAAACTAACATCATGACCAGTCCATACCTCTTCTGCAACTTTCCCAGCCAATGATGCCCTTGGCGATCTGTTGATAAGATAACACACCATGTTAACAGCCTCGGCCCAGAAGTGTTTGGGAAGCCCCGCATTCAACCGCAAACATCTGGCTCTTTCATTCAACGACCTGTTCATCCGGTCCGTAACACCATTCTGTTGTGGTGTCTTGCGTACTGTAAAATGTCTCTTAATCTCGTGCTCCTTACAGAAGTGTAAGAACTGTGAATCTGTGTACTCCGTACCATTTTCAGACCGCAAACATTTGATTTTTTGTCCTGTTTGGTTTTCTACCTCAGCTTTCCACAGCTTGAACTTCTCAAAAACTTCAGATTTCTGTTTCAAAAAATACACCCAAACTTTCCGTGAAAATCATCAATAAAAGTAACATAATACCTAGATCCACCTAAAGACGATGTCGTGGAAGGCCCCCATACATCAGAATGCACATAATCAAGAATCCCTTGAGTTGTGTGCCTCGCAGTCTTGAAACGGACTTTAGTCTGTTTACCAAGAACACAATACTTGCAAAATTCGAGCTTACAGCTTTTGACACCATGCAACAGATTTCTTTTGTGTAATTCTGTCATACCACGTTCACTAAGATGAGCAAGACGCATATGCCACATTTTTGTTGTATCATCACAGGACTCAATAGAATGAACTCTACCTGCAACGGTACTCCCTAACAATCTATAAATATTTCCTGCAATCATCTTTCCTTTTATCACAGTCAAAGCACCTTTAACAATCTGAATGGTTTCCCTATCCTCATCAGCCTTAGGGATAAAACCATTCTTGTGCAAAGTGCCCAAAGAAATCAAATTCTTCTTCAAATCTGGGATATGTTTAACACCACTCAACGTCCGAACAGAGCCATCATACATCTTAATTCTGACATCACCAATACCAACAATATTGCAACATCGATCATCACCCAAATAAACAGAACCAGAATTAACCGACCTATATGTCGAAAACCATTCCCTATTTGGCGTGATGTGATAAGAACATCCAGAATCAAGAATCCACGCATCCGTCAATTGAGTCGTTGAAATAGAAAGCATATCACCCTCACTGCAATCAGAATTGTCATCCTCGACCACGTTCACAGACCTGGATGAAACATCACGCTTCTCATCAGTCTGCTTTTTCAACTTCGAGCAGTCTCGCTTCATATGTCCCGCCTCCTTGCACTTGTAACAGTGAATTGTCTTCTTATCCCTAGATTTGGATCTGGAATTCCGCTTGCCAGACTCTGCCTTCTCTGGCTTCCGTCTGCGGTCTCGATTACTCTTGACATATAAGCTATCGGCTTGAGAGTTTTCCCATGCATTCTGCTTCCGCTGGTTGTGAGCCAACAAGGCTGCAGTAATCTCCTCAACGTTGATAGTCTCTTTCCCATATGTAAGAGTAGTCACCATGTGTTCGTAAGAGGGAGGCAACGAACACAACAAAATCATCACTCTATCTTCATCCTCAATTTTTACATCAAGCCGAGCCAAATCAGAAACGATTTGATTGAAGACATTCACGTGTTGCGCCAAATCATGATCGTCCTGCATCTTCAGCCCATACAGCCGCTGCTTTAGATACAATTTTGTCGTTAAGGATTTGGACATAAACTGACTTTCCAACTTCCTCCAAATTTCGTCTAGAGACGATAGATGCATGATGTGATACATAACCTCGTCCGCCAAGCATAATCGTATGGTTCCTGCCGCTCGTTGTTGCAATTCTTCCCAATCTTCCTCCTCCATCGACGCCAGCTTTGTAGGTCGCAAAGCCTTCAGGATCCCCTGCTGCGCCAACAGATCCTTCACCCTCGTTTTCCATAATCCGAAGTTACCCAGACCATCGAATTTCGCAACTTCGAATTTTGCTCCTGACATCTGATACCAATTGTTGATAAATCGGGCAAAGTAAACGAAAGAACACAAGATTTTAACGAGGTTCGGCAATGTGCTTACGTCCTCGGTGCCTAGGCGGCGCTAGAAAATTTTATTCAATTCCCTGTCCTCTTTACCGGTATATTTATGAGCCATACCTTACAGAATTCAATTTCAAAAAGGCTGAAATTGTAAATAGAAACCCCCTTTTTTTATTTTAAAAGTTTATGGAAGTTTAGGGAGCTTGTGATTTAGTACAGATATATGCTTAAAAAAACAAAGCTGCGTTAAGAAGGTAAGCTGTGCTTAGTTTGGAACTTTTAATTTGATTCGTTCTCAAGTCAATAAAATTTGCAGGTTTTAGAGAGTTGCACATTCCCTTCAATTTCAACTTTAAAGTTCAAATCTTTTTCTTTCTTGGTAGGTACACCCGTGAGGAGAATATGTCCTAATTCAGAATTAGGGTATGCACTGGACTTAAATGTCACTTTTCTAATTCATAAAAAGATACATGTGATTTTTTTTACCTTATTCTAGTTTTAATTGAAGTTAATATTACTAATAAAATGTAACAACAAATGAAACATATTACAATAAAATAAATTAAAATACAAAAAAGAGCTCCAAACTTTGGACTTTTGAAGTCATAAAACGTGCATGATCGCTTGCCCCAAAACCAATGCATACGTGTTAAGTTTTGATTTAGGTGTATGACAAGTAGTCGTAAGATGGGCATGATAACGTGGTTATTTTGAATCGAAAGCAAAATTTGTGGATCTATTCTGTTAATAATGATAGTTGACTCATTCGTTATTCCTGCGGCCTTGATTAAAAAACGTATAAAAATTGTTATGAGTGGGTTTAGTCCAAATATATTTTAATTTATTTTATTACAACTTATAGAAAGGTATAAAAATTGAAATATTTATTATAATATGGAATTTATAAAAATATAATTAAAATATCTATTATGACATTTCACATTGTTAAAGGATAATGTAGAGAGCCATTAAGATTGATAATTGATTTAAAAAAATAATGTAAATAACCATGGAAAGAAAAATAAACAAATTTGATTGATCAGCTAAATTAAATTTTTATTCAATCAATTAATTCAATTAAAATAAAATACGATAATAAATAGGGTTTTCAATCGATCGGTTCGATTAACCGACGGAATTGAACTTTCAAAAATTTATTAAACGATTTATTTTCGCTTTAACCGTTAACTGAATTGAATTTTTTCAAAAATAATTAATCGAACTGAATAAAGTTCGATTAATAGAAATTAACCGAAATTTATAAATAATATATATTATAAATTCGGTTAAAATCGAAATTTAAACACTCTCAAGGTTAAATAATATATTAAATATTTAATAAATTTGATTAATTCGATTAACCAACTGATTTCGAACTGAATTAACTAATAATCAGAATTTTAAAAAATAATTAATCATTAATCAATCGAACTTAAAATTAACCGACTGAATAAACAAAAAAATTGATTCAATCAATTAAGAGAAAATAACCTTAGTGACCGAAAATGCCTTATAATATACGATTTTAACCAACTCTTTTTTGGATTTACGAAAATGACCAACAAATTCGCAACGCGAATTTAGAAAATATCAACAAAGAAGTCAAATTCGCAACACTGAATTTCAAATTCGCAACTGAATTTCAAATTCGCAACTCGATTTTCGAATTCGCAACACGAATTTAATTTCGCAACAGGTTTTAGTTTCGCAACACAATTTTTTGGGTATATAACTACGCAGCAGCAACAACTCATACCTAAATCCCTAAATCGCAACTCATTCCATCTCCATCTATCACTCTCTCCGACGACATCCGTTCCTATATCCAACGACATCCTTCCACATCTCTAATTTTTTTTACATACTTTTTTTTCTATATAATTTTTCAATGATTTCTCTCCCAAATTATCAACTATCAACTTAATAAAGGTATGTTTTTCTCTAAGTTAGTGATGATATGTAGTTTATATCTCGTTTGTTTAGTAAATTAATTTACAATTTGTAGAATGAAATCATCTAATATTGATTATGTTTGGATATATTTGTGTTTTTTAGGGTCGTGGGAGAATGTTCATGGTGTTTTACAATATGTGCCTTTACCCATGAATCTTCAACTAAAACTGTCATTAAAAAAGTTAACTTATGAAACTCTAATGTTACGTGTTGCAAAGAAATTGAATTTAGAGCCTCTAAGTGGATTTAGGCTATCTTATCAGAGAAAAGGTAAAGTTTATTTATTAACCGACAATGAAGATGTTGAACGATTCATTGCTTACATTAGTGTTTCGCAAGAAGATGATGTTACATTGTATGTTGTTGAACCTAGAAGTAGTGAAGTTGGGTCAGTAGCGGGTAGTAATCAACTAAGTTCTTCAACCCCAGTTTATGGTGCTCACAATGTACAACGTTGTTATCAACCTCAAAATTTAATGGTTCTACCACAATTTTATCACCAAGAAAATTTTATTTCACCACATTTCCAATATCAAACACAATCTCAAAACCACAACCTTTTCCTAATCCAAATCCCAATCAACTTTCAGCACTAAATTCCAGTTTTCGTATTGATCAGTTAGACGATAATGAGCCAATAAAAAAAATTGTGAGTACTAGTCAGTATTCGAAATTTGATCTTAGTCAATACCCAGACTTTGATCTTGGTCAATACTCGGATTTTGATGATGTTTCAGAAGAAGAAACAAACCCTGCATGTAATGATTTTGATATTGGCCAATACCCGAATTTTGATGATGAAACAGCCGCTGCCGAGGAAGATGTTGTTGATGATAATGAGGAGAAAGTTACGATTGTGAATGAACATGTTGAACATCCATTTTGTAATTCATATAACCCTGAAGAACAAGAAGAAGAAGAAAAAGAAGTCCACAAAGAAAAGAAAAAGAAGAAAATACCACGGGAGTATAACTGGAATATGCCAGAATTACTTCAGATACCGGAATAAGAGTTGGTAAAGATAACAGTTGATTGTTACACAAAAGTTATTCGTATCAAGAAAGATGATTGTTTTGATATAAAGGAAGACTTGGAGATAGCTTTGTATATGAAATGTGTGGAAGATGGCTATCAATTAAAAGTCAACAAATCAAGCAAAGGTCGTTTCGAAACAAAGTGTATGATTGACAAAAACTGTACATGGCGTATGATTGCAAAGAGGATAAAAGATTGCGAAATGTTTAAAGTTATGACTTTTATTGATAAACATACATGTTCAAGAACCCTAAGTTTTTCCTCACCATAGACAGGCAAACAAAAAAGTGTTGGGTGGTTTTCTGGTTGAGTTAATGTTTTTGAATGGCAGAGTATATCGGGGACATGAAATTATGACTGACATGAATACTCGGTTCAAGATTAGTATCTCATATTCTCAAGCTTGGAGAGCCAAATGTTATGCCTTGGAATTGTTGAGGGGGTCTCCAGAAGCATCGTTTGCCCAACTGTTGGCTTATTGTCACAATTTAAAGCTGAAAAATCCTGGGTCGGTAACTCATATCAAAACAGATAGAGATGGACGCTTTGAGTTGTTGTTTATCTCCATTGGTGCTGCGGTTAGTAAATCAATATAATTTTGTTGACTCATTTTTATTAGTTACATGCATTTCACATTTAAATGATTATATGTCTTGTGTATATTATTTTGTAGATTCATTCGTTTATTACTTGCATGCGCCCAGTTATTATAGTTGACGGAGCACATTTGAAAGGTCGATACCTTGGAGTAAACTTATTAGCAGTAGCCATGGATGCTAACAATGGGATACTGCCAATAGCTTACGGGGTTGGCAAATCTGAAACATCTGATTCATGGAATGGTTTATGGGGCATCTTAAGGATTACATATGTCCTATTAGCAATCTGACAATCATATCCGATAGGGCAAACTCAATTGACAACGCTGTTAGAAGGTGTTTCCCAGATGTTTTTCATGGACTTTGTGGTGTTCATTTGTACAAAATCTAAAATCAAGGTATGCTGGTATAAAAAATCACAAATGGACATACTGGAAGACTGTAAAAGCTTATCGAGAAGTGGATTTTAATAAGCATATAAATTATTTAAGACGTGTTTTGCCTCAATGTGCTCAAACACTAGAAGATGTCAGGTTTGAAAGATAATCAAGAGTACATCAACTTGGAGCAGGATATGGTTTCATGATATCTAATAGTGCAGAATCAATCAACGCTCTAAGTCTTCATTCCCGGAAATTACCCATTACTATGTTAATGGAGTTTTTTCAAGCCTCTATTCAACAGTGGTACTACAAGAAAAGAAACCATGCAAGTATTATTTCTTTAAATTCATAACTTATCATATATTTTACTAAGTATTATTCATTTAAATTTACAGGAACATTAGAACGTCGTGTTACACCATGGACTGAAAAAAAAGATAATGAAACATGTTGTGAAGTCAACGTCATGGAGAGTTGAACCATGTTCAAACACTTTGTTTGAAGTATTGGATAATAACTTAAATGGACTTGTCGATCTAAATGCAAAGACGTGTAGTTGTATAAAATGACAAGCATCTGGTTATCCGTGTGGCCATGTTATAAAAGTTGCTCTTCATCTAAACCAAGATGATTCAAGCGCATACGCTACGGATTGCTACACTATAGAAGTATATCGACAGACTTATGTCGAGATTGTCTACCCTATTCCACATCCTTCTGAGTGGGACATACTAGATGACTTACAAACAGTTTTGCCACCAATCATGGACAGCAGGCTATCTGGCCTACAAAAAAATCACGATCGTATACTGTCTAAGGGTGAAGAGAAGAGGATATCGACATGTAGTCGGTGCAAGGAAAGTGGTCATACAAGGTTGACATGTGGATCACCAGTGCCATCACAATCATCTTTTCCTCTACCAAAATATGGATCCTCATCAAAATCCAAAGCTCATATGGTGCCAAGCAAAAGGAAATCAAAATCGTAATCAAAATCAAAATCCCAATCACAACCGGCTTCACCTTTTGGGACTTATTAACATAGGTGATTTTTAAATGCAAACGTTGTAATATGTGTATTTTATGTGTGAATGCATACATTTTCAGTTAGACATTCATTAGTAACTTGAGTTTAAACATTGCTATGATATGTTCAGTTGTCATCACTTATCAGATTATTGTCTGTTATCTTTTTGAAGGTGTTTTCCTTGAATTCGCAACGTGATTATCGCGTTGCGATTGTTGTTAAAGTCAAATTCGAAACGCGAAATCGCAAACCGAAAATCGCAACGTGAATTTGACTATCGCGTTGCGAATTTGACCATCGCAACGAAAAAATCGCAACGAGAATTTGACTTTCGTGTTGCGAAAGTGTACATTCAACATGTCTTTTTTCCATTCAACATAATGCAGATTGAATAAACAACAAATCAACTTTTACAAAATCAATTAAACAAGCAAAAAATAATTCTTATTTACACATCAATTAAACAAATCAACTTTTACAAACAATGTAAAATTCAATTAAACAAGCAAAAAAAGTGTACCCCAAACAGTTATTTATGCATAAATACATCAATTTCATGCAGCTCACTTCAGGACTAACCTGCAGAAACCAAACATTTACTCAAACAACACTTTCTACACATCTAAAACCAACAAACAACAAATTATTGAATTCTAGGTACTTAACCAAAAATTTTCAAACCAACAAAGAGTATATATGTTAACAACACTTGCTCAAACTTACCAATTGTTTATGCACACTTTCAGCACGCGGATGCAGGTAGGCAGCGTTTCGCATATATCGCTCTAGCCATAAATTGCCAAAACCACAAGCCTACTACACCTCTATCTCTATATGTGGGAGGTATAAACTGTTTACTTCCTGTTGTCAAACGTTCCAAGCACATGCATACGAAAGGACCATAATCCCCTCTGCTCCCTCCGTTTGTTATGGCGCGTTCTCGTCTCTTATCATTGTAACTTTGAACTTTTTTGGCTTCTTGTTTCCAGAATTAGTCCAATAATCAATTGTATTCAAGTATTTCACCAAATGAGCGCTCCATCCCTTACAAATAATATCTCTCAAATCAGACAATGGTATATAATTTAACATGTTGTCATATACTATTGTCTTCAGGGATGGGAGCTGAATCTCGATGAGAAGCCAATGACGACGTTCTAAAACAGGGATAAACACCTACAATCATAAATAATTGCGCACATCAAATAAAAGACGTTTAAAACAAGGATAAACACCTTTAAAATATTCAAAAAATAAATACTAACCTTATCGACCTCCCATCACGCAGGATAAAGTTTAGCTTTTCCATTACCCAACATATATGAAGCATCTCTCGGATCCTTCAAGTGAGCTACATGAAAAGTCGTCGGCATAATAGTCCATCGAGTATTTTTTTATTTTCTTTAATTTCCTTATTATTAGAAGACGTGACACTCATGCATCAATATGATGTTTTATAAAAAATACATATATTAGTGAATTTATTAATAAATTTAAAAAAAATTAATCAAAATGCAATATAAGAAGAAAATAAGACTTACCACCCCTTCGAGATAGCCATTATCTTCAACCCCTAATAAAATACCCACCAAGACCGATCAAGAAACAAATGAATAACATCTTCGAGTTTGCATATGTCAGAATAACACCCCTTGCTCCGCTCATGTAGATAAAAATCAACTGCGGTCTTAGCCCAAAAGGTATTAACCGTAATTGTGTCCGGTAGTGTTCCCTTCTCCTGCTGAGGAATGATATTGGCCGGTAACACATACGAAAGCCAACTCACATCCATCATATCAGGCATGAGAGGGGGTTTATCAATATGTCGACATATGACGCCATGTGAATCGGGCTCTTGAACGGTGAGAGGGACCTCTTGAACGATGACAGGGGCCTCTTGAACGGTGGGAGGCCTCTTGAACGATGAAAGGGGCCTCTTGAACGATATGAGACATGTCTTAAATGATGAAAGATGCATTGGGCTTCTTCTTACGGAGTCTTGGCACTAGTGGGGTGAAAGGAGACGTAATGGCACGTGCACGACGTCTGATGTGTGAACCCTATCGTGCAAGAAAAACCCGACGTAAAGCATCTACCTTATCGGGCCGTTGAAAATAAATTAATACATAAATCAGTAAATAAATAAATAAATAATGCTGAAAAAAGGTTATTTACATTTTTAGTATATTATTAAACAAATTTACCTCATTTCATAGAGTATGAACCTTATTTTGCAATGATGAAACAATCTCACGTAGAGCGGCTACCTCATCACGTAAAGTAGATACCTCACCACATAGCGCACCATTGTCATCACCTAAAACATCCACCTCACCACGTAAAGACCGTACCTCATCACGTAGCACACCATTGTCTTCACGTAAAGTACCAACCTCATGACGTAAAACACCGACCTCATCACGTAACTCCCCTAACTCATCCCGTGGAGGTGGAGAACAGAGAGATAAATGTTGTGTCCTCTTTTCGGTCGCCTATCATGAGGTGATGGTGGAGAAGAGGCTCGATCAGGTGATGGCTTCGGGTGTTGAGCTGTAGAATCGGCCCGATCAGGTGATGGCTCTCGAAGTACCTCTGTAATGGATAGTTGGCCTCCTAACAATATAAAAGCTCAAACAAAGTTAAACGTGTACTAGTAATAACTTGTTTATATATGGTAGTATTTGTGTGTTAACTTACATCATTCATCTTCGTATATGGTAGTAACTATTCCCAATCCAACAGGCGGATCCTCCTCCAAGTAATAGCCCTAGGAATATCATTTGAATTTTTTATCGCATATGTCCGCATGCTGGGGAAAGCCTCAAATATCCAAATCTACAAATAATATAATACACAAACATCAATAATTGTTAAATAATTAATTATAAATTTGGAAATATTATATAGAAATTATTACCTTGAAGGCCCAAATAAAGCCTGCCAAAGTGTATTTAGAACTATCACCCCGCAAACTTTTTCGGTCCTCAAAGGCAGACGACAACTTCTTCTAGGTAGCTTTCCATAGATATGAACCCCACGGAAACATGTTTCATGCATTTAGGTCATCTACCAATAATATTAGGTCCTCAGAAATAGGTTGTCTGCCCTCTTTGCCTAAAAAGCCGGCATGCAAAAGTAATAAATGGCATACTCAGACAACATCAAGGTCATCCATCCGAGTAAAACCATCTTTAACAAATAATATCTTCAAGTCTTCGACGTGTAAACTCGCTTCGACTTTGCCAGCTCAGGAAAAACCCGAGATAACCACGATGGGCGGGAGATATGACTAGTGTACCGGGTTACTTCATCGTGTCCGAAGCGTAGACCAATGATTAAGCAAAACTCCTCCCGCCCAAAACAAGTATACGCTGGAGGAAAATGAAACCATATCTCTTCATCACCACGTTGTATCCTCTCGGGTAGATCGTTAGTCATGGTCTGAAGAAACAAATGTGTCAACATAACATCTCCACCCGGATGTTGTACTTTCAGCCATGGCCCAAAGCAAGTATCCTCAAACAATTTTCTTTGTAGAGGTGTAAGCGTCGACACAATTTTAGTGGCTAGGCTTAATTTATTCCTTAAGGTCAATTGAGCCGAAATTTTTTTCTACAAAAGCAATAAACATACAAAGTTAGATATACCAAGAACTACAAATTATACACTATAAACATACATGATATTAAACAGTGAAAACAAAGTCAAATATAATTCAAACTAGCACGATATTCACCCAAGTCATTATTCCATCATAATTCACAAAATGCATCAGATAACATTCCAGAATTAAGCACTAATAAAACATTTAAAAGGACAACATATAGGTTTAGTGCAGGTTCAAGGACAACATAAAGAGTAGTAGTTTATTCTTGAAACTTAAATTCGCAACACTGTGAAGTTAGTATTTGTCTTTGTTTTTTGGTTGAAGTAATGCAATTCATTCAAGTTTCAATTTGCAGAAGAATAGTAGTTTCTGGAACTTAAATTCGTAATGCGAAAATGAAAATTGTAACGCGAAAATGAAAATCGCAACGCCAAACTAAATTCGCATTGCGATTTTCATTTTCGTGTTGCGAATTTAAGTTTCAAAAACTATTCTTCTGCAAATTAAAACTTGAATGAATTGCATTTGTTCAACAAAAAGACAAAACAAATATAAATACTAACTTCACAGGGTTAAAGACTAAACAGTTTAGCAGTATTGACAGCAACCGAATGAATTTACTAAGCAATCTAAGTGAAATAGTTAATCTATATATTGAAATTACCAGTAAATTTATCATCAATATAAGAAAAATCTAATAATAATACAAAAATTTCAAAATAAAAATAAGAGATTAAAAAAACTAACCATCGGTGATAGATTTTCCATTTCTGACTGTGAATGATTGTGAGGGTTGCTATGAGAGATGGAGATAGACAGATTTCGTCGGAGATGGGGACGTATTACGTCGGAGATGGGGACGGATGTCGTCGTAGAGAGTGAGAGATGAAGATGAGACTGAGTTGTGATTTAGGGTTTTAGGTTATGATTTGCGATAATACTGTTTACATTTGTGTTGCGAAATTAATATTGAAAATAAACGCACTTTGACTTCTGTGTTGAGATTTACAAATTCGCAATGCGATTCACATATTCGCGTTGCGAATTTGGAAACTGGTTTGCGAAATTGGAGTTTGCGTTGCGAATTTGTTGGTCATTTTCACAAATCCAAAAAAAGTTGATTAAAATCGTATATTATAAGACATTTTCGGCCACTGAGATTATTTTCTCATCAATTAAATCAATTTTAACCGAAGTTTGAACACCCTTGATAATAAACATCTCTACTAATTTTTTTTCAAATTTAGTCCTTTCATAGAGTACTACTATCCACACTGCCGTGTCAGTCCCGTTCATTCATGGAGGGGTACATCCGTTTCAATTTTATTTTATATTAATGAATTATTATAATATTAAAATATTTCACACATAAATTTAAAACTTTATATATATAACATTTATTTTGAATTACTTAATTAATATATATCAAATATTATAAAAATATAAAAAATATTTACTTTGTAATGGTTTTAAAATTATTAATACGAAAATACTGTATTATTATTTTTAAAAAGAAAAAAAAGAAAAGAGTTTTGCCTTCATCAGATATTCAATTTCTCTCCAACTCTAATTTCAAACAGCTTTTCTATCTAGGGAAAGGGGAAAAAATCTAAAAACCCTAGGATTCA